GTGTCAGCTGGACACATATAAATAGCTTAACCAATATGAAGAACATGAGCTATTGTATATCAAAACCTCCTTCAACATTACTTCCCACCGCAGATGCAAACAGCTAGTTTAAAAAAAAAAAAAAAAAAGAATGAATTTTTCTTCACTTCTTCTTGGCACTAGCAAGCTATTCCCACCCAGACTTCAGGTTCTGGAAATGGTGGCACAGAGTGATATAAAGTGATGCCAAGGAAGCTGTAAACCCTGCAGAAAGAGTAAGGCGGAACACTTAAATCGTGAGGTTTCCGTGAGACTGCTGGAGGAAGAGCGCCAGAGTCAGGGCGCGCAGCGAGGACGAAGGAAACGGAGCACCTGGGATAGTGCTCTGCCCTACATCCACTGCATGCAGGACTCCTGCTCTCCTGCCCACGTCTGCCAGATCCACCAATTCAAGCAGGAGGGGAAATCATACCAAAGGCAAAGATCAGCAGAGAAATCGACTGGGTGTTTCCTATGAACCCACCCTAGCTGCATAAACAAAGTACACGGATTTTCTCTTAACGGAGTTGGGTAAGTCTTGTGGATCTCCAGCCATTTCCTTCTGGTGCCCAAATGGAAGCCAAGCAACCTCGGGACTTTTTTTTTTTTTTTAATAAAAGTGACAGAGTATCAAAGTAAACACCCCAAGTATCAGAGTACCCACTCCAAGAAATGCACGATTAAATTCTATTTTTCTCCCAAGCTGTGCAATGGCTTGCTTCACGTACAGGCTCCCGCATGCAGCAGGCACAGCTCGTTAACGTTGCTGCATTTGTATCACGCCAAAACACTCGTAGCGGAAAGCGCTGCCGTGAGACAGGCGCAGTTACTGTGTCCCCTACGCTTCACCCTAACCCTCTCTCCCCAGGGTCCAGCAGCACTTGCCCTCTTAAGAGCCAGCCCACAACCAGTTCTCCTTTAGGTAAGTTTTCAGCAACTTAGTCCTGCAGGTTCATTCTTGGGCTGGAAAGTTTTTGCGCCAGGGACGCAGAGGAGCGAGGCGGCGTT